TCCGTGTGGGCTCAGGATGGCGCAGGGAGGCTCTCAGCTCGACTACCACATCCTGCAGGACCTCAAGCAGCGTTTCCCGGAGATTCCAGAGGGGGTAGTGTCTCAGTACCTCCTGCAGGTAAACACGCCGTGGACGTGTAAGGCACAATATCCTCTGAGGGCCTGCTATTTGCGAGGAGAGGGGTTTTATTTCATGCACACAAATTGACTTCCTATTAAGGTGTTCTATTTCTCATATTTGTATACCCGTTGGCATTGTTTTAGTAGATACATGTGCCACAATAAAGGTGCTAAAATGATCTACTCAAATGAATAAGCTTAATGCTGCTAAATGAACAACCTTTTTTAGACTCAGCAGTTTTGCATCTCTCTCTATTTGTTGGTTTATCATATGATGAACCATTATTTGACCACTGAGTCCTACCTCTCTCTATCCGTTATGGTGATCTGGCCTACGTGCTCACAACATGGTCTCTTGAACTCAGCAGCACTCCAAAAGCTCACTGATACTGAAACCTCTCTCTGGCTCTCTCCCAGAACAACAATAACCTGGATCTCTGCTGCCACCTGCTGGCCCAGGAGAGTAACAGATACCTGTATGGAGACTTCCATCACAGTCCGGAGGAAGTGCAGCTGAGCCGAAACCACATGCTCCACATTAGCCCGGGCTATCCCGGCTCGGACGCGGGCAAACCCAATGGCGGAGGAGTCGGGCGCTCCCTAGTGCACAGCACAAGTGACAGTCACATTGAACCCCAACGCCCCAGCTACCCGGAACCGCTGTCGGCTCCGGCCACCATGGCCCCCTCCCCTGGTTACAATCCCTTTTTTATGAACGATCAGAACCGCTCGGCAAGCACGCCCACCCCCCCACCGTCGATGCAAGGCATGTCCCCCACATACTCCCCCGTTCCACGTTACGCTATGAAACCCATATCTGTAGACCTTAAACAAACTATACCGAATGTCCCACAGGCTCTACAGATCCCCCCCGGGCACTATGCTAACAGTACCAACACCACCATATATATACGACCCTCACCTTCCCAGAGCCCCCAGCCGGCCCCCTGGTCCTCCTCAGGGGCGCCTCTCTATCAGCATCAGCAGTCCCCCTATAGTACCCCCACCTACGGCTCGCCTTACAGCTCCCCTCAACATCAGGTCCAGCCCCCGCCTCAGCCCCAGCCCCCACCCGGACACCAGCAGTACGTCTTCCTCCCCATTAACTCTCCGACCCTCTCCAGCATGCCCTACCACCACCAGCAGCAAGCCCAGCAGCAGCCGGCGGTTTTCCGGCAGTACCACTCCAAAAACCCCCTCACCAAACAAATCGAGGTCACCTTCGAGGGCCCCCGCCCCCGCAGCAACTCGCCCGTGCACGCCGCTCACCCGCAGGGGGGGCTGGGCTACATGGCCACCAGCCCCTCTCCCGGCTCTCCCTCCAGGGCCATCGCCATGAGCGGGCCGGGGCCGGCCGCCTTCCACCCGGGGATGTACCTGCCCCACCAGGGCTCGGCCAGGCCCCGGCCCGCCTCCTCCCCGCAGCCGGGCCAGTCGGCCTACACCTTCAAGATCAAAGTGTCCCCGGGGGGCCAGGCCCAGCGGCCGCCCGGCTCGCCGCCCGTCGCCGAGGCCGAGTCCCTGCTCAACATCGTGGACCAGGGCGCGCACAACGCGGCGCCCCCGCCCATCCTGCCCATCTCCGCCCTGCCCGGGCACAGCGCCAGCCACTTCCCCCCCATGCCCCGCCGCTCCAGCTCCGGCTCCGACGACTACGCCTACACACAAGGTGAAGGGCAGCTTTTTCTACCTCTGTATTCTGTCTCTACGTATTGTTCGCCGCCCGTTTTTGTGCTGTCTGAAACAGACAGGCCTTTAATGTTACACCAGTTGTGTTTGAAGGCTATTCTTAGTGTTCCCGATCGTCCTCAAGATTAGAAGATGATTTTGTGTCGTAACTCCAGCACCTAGGGCTGTCGCTGTTCACCGTTGTTGGTTTGTTTTGGCCCATAGATTTGTGCTTTTCTAAAGGAAGACTCGGTAACCTTTATCGGAATCATGTAGGAACTGAACCCCTGAAATGAGCTGAATTTGTAAATTCTACTCTTTTTTTTTTTTTTTTTTTTTCTTTTTTTTTCTTCTTTTTTTTTTTTTTTTTTCCAAACGTGCTGTTCGGTGTGCATCCCTTCAGCTCTTCTGCTCCATCAGCGGGCGAGGATGGAGCGCTTAATGAAGGAGCTGCTGCTTGAGAAGAAGAAGCTAGAGCAGTTGAAGGCCGACGTCAATAACATGGAATACGACGCCCTCCAAAGACGCTTTCGACGAGTAAACTCCACAAATTTTATACCCCGGGTGAGGACTCAACTAGTGCCCAGAATTGCAATTTCTCCAAGATCTTCATCTTTCATCCCTTTTTAACTTTTCCACCCCTCCACTCTCTGACATAGTCTTTGGTTTTGGATAAGTCAGGGAGAATATCGCACAGCGCGTCTGTGCTCATTACAGTTCAGTGGGCTGCAGAAGTTATGTTTGGAATAACCAGATCGGACCAAATCAGGCGCTTCACTTTGTGCAGCCTCCACTCAAAAAAAAAAAAAAAAAAAAAAACCTATAAGGAGGAATCAAATTGATCTCGAAAGAGTTGCATTCAAAGCGCATCAATATGCAGCAGATTGCACAAACCAAAGTCCAAAGCAGTTGGACACTTCAAAGGAAGGATGGAGTTAATTTTGCGAATCTATATTTGTCTAAAAGCTAAATGTTTTTTTTTTGCATTGACCACAGCCTGAGGAGATGACCCTGCTGCGGAGCCGCAACCGGCAGCTGCAGATAGATATCGACTGCACGCTGAAGGAGACGGATCTGCTCCAGTCCAGAGGTACGCATGCCCGAGTGCACATCCCTACCTGGTCCTTTTGAAGTGTTTATTTATTGGAACGCATTGATCTCGAAAGCGCCGGGCCCCCCCCTACCGAAGCAGACACAGCGCATGGACCGAAATGATAGATGAGGCTGTGTCACTGCGCATACAGATGCTCAGAAATGGCAGCCTGACGTGCAGTAGGGCTACGGGCCGACCCGAGCCTCGCTGGGGTCCACTTAGAGTTCGGATCGTGGTTTGCATTATTGATATTTTTAAAAAAAGGAAAAAAAAGGGGGTTATCAGGACCACATTGTGTGGGAATTATTTGCCTTCCCTTGTCGGTTTGCCAGGTTAAGAGATGTTGGAGGCTAAAAAAGAAAAAGAAAAAAGGAAAAAAACTCTGTTTGGAGGCTCAGTTTACTGGCAGTCAGCCTCGAGCCACTAAAGTTTCAGACAATGGTCCTCCTGGAAATAAAGCAGCTCTGAAGACACACATAATCCCGCAGTCCCCAGGAAGTTTTCTTTTTTTTTCTTTCCAGGAAATGGCTGTAAGTTGCTGCTTTTCTCAGCCAATCTGGCAAACACTCACAGAAACTTAGCCTTATAGATAAAACACAACAGCACTGTTAAAAGTCCTCAATATGAGCCTCTTTAGATGGACAGTTTATTACCATTTGGTTACATTGTTATTGTCAGGTAAACAGGCTGGATTGTCAGATTTGTCAGAAGTTTGTGTTTACTGGTTCATTTAGCAGGAATCCTCAGAAAAAGGTTAACAGAGTGTTGATAATTTAGTGACAGAGATGGTCCAAATCCCAGAATTACAGCTTTTTTGTTGTATCCTAAAACCTTTAATCCTTTCATATGGCAGAATAGCCCAGCCAGGTGTGCATTTAATCAGTAAATCAAGTGAACGTGTAAAAGCCTGTGCACGTCATTCTGCTGAACCTCCTGCTCAGAAACAGTCCGCAGAAGCTCAGAGGCAACAATGGGATTTCATAAACCCTGCAAATAAGCTTTTTCATCTTGTGCTTTAGTTGGACGGTAAGGACCTTCTGGAAATATACCAAAATACACAGAATAAATGGACCTACCGAATGTTTTGTGGTGAAAGCACAGGGAGCAGTGTCACACGAAGAGCTGGTTTGAAGGGAAAATACAATCCCAAACATTAGTTTTAGGAGTAGGTGTGTGTGTGAGTGTTTTTTTATGACTAGAAACGTCCTGCAGCTGATGTTGGGGCTTGATGGCTGAGTAGGACAGATGCTTTTTCACATTGGGTTGTACTTCTGATATTTCCCCCCCGGCCGGCCGACGCTGGTCCGAGAGCTCAGGCGGTCAAGGAGAGAGCACTGATTGGCCCGCTGCCCGGAATGGGCCCTCCCAAACAAACAAATGTTCAGAAGCCGTATCTGATCTTTGCTTTCTTCCACAGGGAAGTTTGACCCCAAAGCAATCAACAACTTTTACGACAACATTCAGCCTGGTCCAGTGGTGCCGCCCAAACCCGGGAAGAAAGGTAACCGGAGCCAGTCTTTAAGACATGAAAGGGAACAAATATTTTAATAGCTCCCGTGAGGGGAAAATAAACACGAACTCTGCACGATAGAATCAGAGAACGACTGTTTATTGGATAGAGGGTCTGTGCTCTGCCTCTGTGGGTCCTCTGCATGCTCCGAACACCCACAATCCTTTGCATTTGTGTAAACGACCTCAGAAGACGGATCAATATCTGCACAAATATATGTGCATTTAAATGTAACCGAGTTCGTTGCCATGGCATCCGTCGTCGCCGCAAAGTTGCCAGTGTTTTAAGGCGTTCGTCAGAAGACGGCAGAGTGTAAACCGCTGTTGGCTGGTTATCGGCTGTCACACAGCCATACCAGAGGAAGGTGGAACCAGTGGCAGGCCCATAACTGGGATGTTTGCCCTCCCAGAGGCATTCCATGATGTCACTCGTAAAGTTGCAGGAAGGACGGGACTTCCTCCTGCTGAGGTCGCCTCCTCGATTTCGAGAAACTTGAGAACGTGGAGCAAACGATCATTCAGATCCTCCTTCATGTTTATGTTTGCCTTGTTCGGTAACGTTATTGAGGATTTAGGCCTGTTCTGTTTGGAATCCAAGGCCGAGAGCTAAGGTAACCGCGTTGGCCTCCAGAGAACTGTTGGCATGGCAACCGGGCGAGAAACGCATGCCTCGTGTTTCGCTCTGTTGCACGGATGAAGTGGTCTGGTGCTCAGAGTTCCGCATATTCCAACTCTTGTTTTTTTTTTGTCTGAAAGGGGAAGCGGCTTCCAAAGCGGCGCCGGCGCCCCCCCACAGAGACGAGGACTTCGAAGGCGCCCAGTGGAACTGTGAAAGCTGCACCTTCCTCAACCACCCTGCACTCAACCGCTGTGAACAGTGTGAAATGCCACGCTACACCTGAACTTAGCACTGCGCTGTATCGCTCAACCCCCATCCCTCCCACCTCCCCTCCCTTGCAAATCCATGGACGCCATAAGTCCAACCCCTCCACGGTCCGTCTTGAGGTCTACCCTGTCCGTCAGTATATAAACCCCCTCCCACCTGCTGAGGAAGAGCCACTAGCCCCCCCCCCACCCCCGGCCCGCCCTGCTGTCGTCCACCACTCCCGTGCACTAGGATCTTAATTGGACGAGGACTCTCTTTCAGATTGCAAAAAGGGGCGTGTGAGTTTGCGTTGCGCGGGCCAGGCCTCACGAAGCTCCGAGCCGTTCCAGGACTACGGAGGAGGAGGAGGAGCCCAGTGTGGCCTCGCCAACATTCCAGGCAGAGGCGGCCGCCCGCCCTGTTTACACTGTGCCCATTCCTGAACTGAAAACGGAGGCACTGTCACCCTAATCCCGGAGCGCCGGCTTCCCTCGTCGGACAAAAACGAACAATGAAAACGGTGGTATATAAGTGGTGACTAATGCGAAATGTAGACTGTACACTGTATCTGGCTCTGTATTAGAGCTCATTTCACTGAAAGAACACTAAAGACACTTGCATACGAGTATATTCCTGGTACTTTTATGCATACTATGCCACCATGTATTACGTGTTCAGAAGATGTGGATTTCCTGTGCAAATGCCTCAACTTGCTGTACTTAATAAAAGAGCTGATTATATGTGACTTGACCTCAGACGGCTGCTTGGTTTGTCCCGGCGTTCGAGCGCTTTCCCGAATCAGTCACAACGCGGGTTTTTAAACCGTTTATTTATTCGGTCATCAGACCGGCGGGAATCAGAAACACAGCAGCAAACAGAAGTCCGTGCACAAATTCACTTTATATTCAAGAGGGAGTCGGAGGAAGTAAATCAGAAACAGAAATACTTTAATAATCCCAGAGGGAAATGATTTAAAGAACATGAATGTAACCTGACCGGGCCTTTACCACAGCCCGCATCACACAGGTCACATCATGCATGTCGCACTTTGATATTTCCTTAAATACTATTAGGGCCCATCTTTTAAAAGACAAAACTAAATATACAGACTCCTATGACTACGAGGAAATTTAGCCTTTTTTTTTTTCCTTTTTTTTTTATGATGCGCTCTTTAAGATGCATACTCGACTAAGAGCGCTCACATTTCCAACAGAGCGGGAACACCAGAAGGCATCACGTGGAGAAGCCTGCGAGCACACGCTGGCTAGCAGAAGCATGCACACACGTGCGCTCAGCAGACCTGGTCATTTGCCATTTTCCCACAACTCTGGCTGGAATGTTTTTTGCGATTTTTAAGCACAAACTTTGAATATATTACATTAGCTTGATGAGGAGGGGGCGATTGGGGGGGGAGGGGGGGAAGAGGGTGGGCCTCGAGGAACAGACGGTGCCCATCAGTAACCTGTAAGAGTTCCTCTCACCGATAAAAAATCATTTGGGTGTCTGGATTTCTTTTTTTTTTCCATCTTGGGGTTTGCTCTTGTGCATTGTTAATGCGCTCACATAGGACAGGAGGAAAAAGTCGCCAGTCCACTCGCTTTATCAGATAAACTCTCCGGGAGGGAAGGGGCTTGGACTCGGCCCAGAAAAGAGAAACTCTCTGGGGAAATGTAACATGTAGCTCGGTCTTCCTTACTTTGTTTTGAGGATATCGTGTCGATAGGAAATCCTTCCCCTAAACGCCGGCTTGACTTTGCCTCTGTGTTTGTCTTCTCCGTTCCGGCCGCTTTTTATTCGTCCACCGGTTTGTGCGAGCGTGGGGCCACAGACTCCATCTGCTGCCTTTTGCCTTTTCCGTCCAATTCGAAGGCCTACTGGAGCTGCTCTTAAAGGGGACGCAGAATTATGATCGCGTTTTCCTCCGAAGCGCCTCGTTTTGGATTTCTCTTTTCACAGCGGGGGATTGCTGCCAAGCCTCCTTAGAGAGCTTGTGGGCGGATGTCCAAGTTTGGTTTTTGAAACAATAACTTCACTGCATCAAACTCCAGTCCAGATGCTACCATTAAGCATTCATTTCCCTCTTTCCAGTCAGTGGCTGAGCGGTGTGGGGCAGAAAGAAAATCTCTATTACTATGATACTGGACAGTGGGGGAGGCAGAGAGCCCTGTTCTTCTTATTCTTCTTCATCTTCTTCTTGTTCTTCTTTATTTTTTTAGTAGTAATCTTCATAGTTCTTGGGGTTCAGACAGTAGAGGATAGCGCCTCCAAACGAGAAGATGGTGGATCCCCAGGCCAGCCCGTAGCCCCAGTTGAACTCGTGGTACACCCGCAGGCTGACGGTTTCGATGAATTTGATGGGGAACAGGACCAGGCTGCACACCTGAAGAACAACTGTACGGGAAATGGAGAAAGCACAGATGTCGAAATGAAGCCGCAGGGATAAAATTCATATGATGACAGCGGGCAGCTGGTCAATGTTGAATGGAGAGGGACGTGTGACCATCTAGGGACACTAATAATAAGAATAAGCATAAGAATAAAGGTTTCTCCTCACATTGGGATGCATTTTTTGGACATCGGTCAGCCATTGTTGGCTAATTTTGGAATGACCCATCATCCTCTTTTGACACAAACAGGAAAAACAGGCTGAGGGTGAAACAGTTTTATCTTATAAAAAAAAGGATGTTTTTGTCCTGACCTCTGCAAAAGGGATAGAATTAACATATATAATTGGAAATAGCTTAATGGGCTGGGTGGTCTTCTCCTATTTGGAGAATCAGTAGTACAATCGCCAATGTGTTTAACTGCTCTGGACAAAGACAGTGAATTCCAAGATGAGCTTGATTCGATCCTGTGACTCAACTGTAAATCAAACTAGGATTACCAAGAGTGCATGTAGACATTAAGGTGTTTTTTTTTACTATCTTTCTCAGTTAGATCTTAGACCAAACCTTTCCACGTACCTGCCGTGAAGAGCATGATGGCCACCGGCTTGTAGCAGTGACCCCTGGAGCCCAGGCAGAGGGAGACCAGCGCCACCAGGAAGGAGAGCAGGGTGAGGGCTGCCCCCCCCACCAGCAGGGCCAGCGTGGCGATCTGCCAGTCTGGGACAAACACAGGGCAGGGGGAGGGGGGGAGAGAGAAGGGGAGAAAGAGGGAGGAAAACCATGAATCACACTGAGACAGAGAGACTTAGGAAGCTGCAGAGAGAGAGGCCACTCCAAAGAACCGGGTTGGTTCTGCTGACGGTGGGGGAGACAGACGAGGGGAGGAAAAGGGAGGAGGGGGAGGCGGTAGAATGGGTCACAATGAAGTGGAGTCCCAGTAAACAGGGCCTAAACACAAGATGCTGAACTGAGAAGCTGCTCAAAGGAGCACGCTCGGCCGCGCACAGGTTCCATTGGCCCCAGTAATGGATCCCAGCAAGGCCAAAAGGAGGAGGGGGTGGAGGGGTGGGGGGTGGGGGGGGGTTCTGTGAGGCGGCTCGGATAACGAGCATCCCTCCGTCTCCGGATGGTGCCAGCTCAGCAGCATTCTCAGCATTTCACTCCAGATTCACTCCGAAAAACACTCGGCCCGGAACTAAGTGCCGTCTCAGTTTGGCTTTTTCTGCCCGACGGAGCACCGAAGAGGAAACAAAAACATTTGTCAAGCACACAAAAAAAAAAACCTTTAGAGTAGAAGTTTTGTTTTTATTTTCTTCACTTTTTGCCCCCTACAAATAAATCCCGTAAACAATGTGTTTGGAAGAAGAAAAAAAAGAAAGCTCGATGCCTTTAATTAGGCAGAGACGACAGTTGAAAGACACACTCTGCTTTTGTTTGGACGTTAAGGCTCTTTCTTAGTTTGACTGTGTACGTGCGGAAACAGGAGGTCTATACGTAAACAGACAACAGGATATTATGGGGAGGAATTTGATTACACAGGAGGAAATCATTTAAAGCACGGTGGGTGGAGAAAAAAACAAACATGAAAGCACATAAAGGGACTGTACCCCATATGTGTGATTCAAAATGACCGCAGGGGGAAAGGATTCAGATGGATAGACCTCGGCTCAAATTTGTTTTGTCTTTTTTATTTTTCAGAAATAGAAAAAAAAAACACGACGAGCGAAAAATTTCCTCTCTGTTGAGGCAGAAAATCAAAACATCCACTGTTGAGGAGAAAGTGACGAGACAGAAGCTGCTTAAAATACAGTTTCCACTTTTACTGGGGGGGGCTGGGGGGGCTTTATTCTAGAGGCCAAGCAGCTCAAATGTAAACAAAAATCCACTATTCCTTTCCCTAATATGGCTCAGGATTTGAAGTTTATAAATGGGCCCTGTCGCCACAGGATGTTGGAGAGAGCCCACAATAAACAGAGCACCCGCTCCCTAAATCTTACACAACATGAGCCCCCCCCCCCCCCCCCCCCCCCCCCCCCTGGTTCACTGCCAGGGCCCTCGCCAGGGCCGCGACGCTTCCAGGCTTCCACGGGCGGGAAACGCCAAACTATTAATCCCAGCCCCGCGTGGTGACAGATGGAAAAAGGAGATACAGCGGCAGGAGATCCAATCTGAGCATTAATTACAGCCCCCCCCCTCTCCGAGTGCACGTCGGGCTCTGCTCAACTGCTAATCGGAAAAGAAAGAAGCCCTGAGAAACCTTCAGGGCTCCGGTTCGGTTTCTTTGTCACAGATCTGTGTCACAGGAGAGAAGATAAGTTCCCCAAAATGGAACTTTCGCCTCATCTCTCACACACCGGCGCCAAATTCCCCCCCTACACCACCACCATCATCTCACACCGCCCTGGCATGGACGCGCGCGCTCACACGTCGCCGCTCCACATTCCAGGCCCTCCTGAACTTGACCTCCGACCCCCCCCCCCCCCCCCCCCCGGGGGGGGGGGCCCCGCTTCGGTTTTCCCCCCCCCCCCGCGCCGGGCCCCCCCGGACCTGGCCCCCCGCCCCCCCCCCCCCGCCCGGCGATGGGGCGAGGCCTCGTTTCGGTTTTCCGGACGCTCCGGAGCAGGTTCCGCGGCGTCTGAGTGGCCAGCTGCCTGTTTCAGACTAACAGGATTTATCTAATGCCCCGAGCATGACACTGAGGGAAAAAAAATCAGGTTGGGGGGGGGGGGGTAGGAAGGAGATTGTGATTCAAATCAATAAGCCCGGCCTGAGCAAGCACCGAGCAAGCCGGAGAAAAATGGGGAGTTTGCCGTGTGCGTTTACTGTGGTCTGCTGACAGGAGGACCACAGGACTGACCGGACCGGTCCCAGCCTCAGACAGAAAGAAAAACACTCGGCCAGACCAACAAAAACACAAAACCGAACGGGGCGGGGAGGGCCGGCGGACGGGGGGCAGACAGAGGCCGAAGTCTGGGTCAGGACAGGAGGAGGGATGCCAGCCCTCCATTTGCATTCCCATGATCCCGGATTCCAGCCGTTTTCAGGATAATCGAATTCCTCCGAGACTATATAAGTTGCAGGGGGGCATGTGGGGGGGGAAACAGAGGTTTTGATGACATTGTAAAACGCCTCAGTTATTTTACGCGTCTGACCATTAACACTGTCTCCTCCAACCATAGAAATGACAAAAAACTGGGGCTTAAAAGCTGTCAAAACCGACAATGAAACAGGCTTCATCAAGCTGTTTACTAGATACTTTATATTTTAGAACTGAAATGTTTTGGGTCTCAGTCCATATAATAACTAAAGGACAGAAAAAGAACAAAAAAAAGCTGAATGAGCAAACTCCATCAGGACGAATCCCCAATAGAGAAAACCCACATTTTTGGAGAGCTTCAATTGTTTCCCTGGTAACTAATCTCCAGGCATCTGGATCTCTGGGGAGCCCTGTGTTCTGAGCTGCCCTTGCTCCTTGGCCCGGTGAAGAAACCCACACAAAGGCTTATTTTGTAGGCAACAAAAGGCCGAATGAAACCCCAGCTGGACCGCTCCTGGCCAGGCAGAATTCCCACCTCACTCTGCGGCGCACCGGATTAATGTTTTAGGGGAAAGAGGGGGAAATGTTAACAAGCCAAAGCAGGAATCCAAAGTGTGTCTCATTCATCAGACTTTGGGACCGAGGGATAAACTTTAATGTCCCTAATCGATTATATCCCTCTTGGAAAAGGGGGCACATTGTTCCCTTACCTTATTTCCTGTAGAAAAGTTCAGCAGTTTGAATTAACCATCCAATAGCTAATTATAAAGTAATTAACATTAAGCAGTCTCGTGGGTGATGTTTTATAATTCTCAGCCTCAGAACAGCCCACGGGGGAGCCTTTGTTCCTCCCGAGCTGCTGTCTAACTTTGATTTGAATGTGAATAGGGGGGGGTGTCTGCCTGCACCCACCACTCGTTTTTAAGGGTGACACGTCCCCCAAAAACAGCGCTCCAACGTGCCCCAGAACGCGCGTTCTCACCCGTGATGAGCGTGCCGCTGCAGGACCACTCCGCGGAGCTGACGGGCTTCCAGCAGGACTCCCACAGGGACAGGTAGTACTGGTCGTCCGCCGTGACCCACGCCGGGCTCAGCATGGCCCCGACGTGCAGGCACAGCGCGAGCAGGACGCACGCGAGTCCCACCAACTTCAGGGGCGTGAGCGCGGACGCCCGGACGCCCTCCTCTGCGCCACCGACGGACGAAGCCATCCCCTCTTATCATCCAAAAACAAACCAAAACAACAGCAGCGGAGGGGGGGAAACAACACGCCCGAGTCGGTGTGGCTCCCCCGGGTTCGTAAAACCGGGTTGGGGGCTGCGGGATGGGGAGCCGGCGCGCTCTGGGTGCGCGCGTCCGGAGTGTGGAGGTGCGCGCTGCCTCCTGCTGGACCCGGCGCTCTGCTGGCGGAACCGGGGCTGCGGGGCTGGGAAATAACACCGGGGCTGCGCCCACCGGGTCCTAGCGCCCGGTAAAAGCCTCCCTCTCCCCCTCCTCCTCCTCACAGAGTCTTCATATCAGTCTTCATCAATTTGGGAGGGACGTTTAAATGGCACGAGGCTCAGAGGGGAGAAAATAGCTCTTCTCTCAGTTCAGTGACTGAGGGCACTTAAATTTAGGAGGAACAGTTCAACAGGAAAATATGCACTCAAGTGAAAAACAAAACAAAAACAAAACACAACATTCTAGCAAAATAAGATGAGGACTTAAGTCTAATATAATATAATATAATATAATATAATATAATATAATATAATATA